CTCTCCATGCTGTCCACATCCCTCCTGAAGTGCGGCACCCAGAACTGGACGCAGTACTCCCGCTGCGGCCTGACCAGTGCTGCAGAGAGGGGGAGGCTCCCCTCCTAGGCCCTGCTCGAGATGCATCTGTGGATGCATGACAAGGTGTGACCATGTCCCCACACCGTCCGCCCATGTTCATTTTGGCATCAATAATGACTCCAAGATCCTTTTCTGCCTCTGCACTGACGAGAAGGGAGTTCCCCAGCCTGTAGGTATGCTGCTGGTTCTTCCTCCCCAAGTGCAGCACCTTGCACTTGTCAGTGTTGAAACCCATCCTGTTCTCATCTGCCCACCCCTGTAACCTGTCCAGGTCCGATTGCAGCCTATTCCTTCCTTCTAACGTGCCCACATCCCCCCACATCTTAATGTCGTCAGCAAATTTGAACAGGGTGCTTTTTACCCCCTCGTCCAAGTCACTGATGAAGATGTTGAACAGTGCTGGTCCGAGGACTGAGCCCTGGGGGACCCCACTGCCCACATCCCTCCAGGTCGAAAATGACCCGTCCACCACCACTCTCTGGGTGCGGCCCTCCAGCCAGTTAGCAACCCATTTGACTGTGTAGGTGTCGATGCCACAGTTCCCTAGTTTTTTTAATGATGGGGTGAGAGACAGTGTCAAAGGCCTACCTGAAGTCCAGAAAGACTACGTCCACTGCTACCCCTGCATCTAAGGACTTTGTGACCTGGTCACAGAAGGCCACCATGTTGGTCCGACAGGACCTGCCTCTAATGAACCCATGTAGGTTGCTCCAATTTAGGTAGATCCCCACTCATAAGTCAAACCTAAAAAAGACTACAGAACTCAAGAATTGCGAAATCACAAACAGGTAATGGAAATCAGTCCAAATGAGTCTCATTAAGATCTTTACACTAAGCTCCTACTGGTGCGTGCATGTGCATGCACCGCACACGCACTGTTAAAGAAATTAGTAAGAGTTTGATATAAAGGTCTTAATGAGACTCATTTGGACTGATTACATTATATACTTCTGGTATAAACTGAATATGAGGGTATGATAGAAGGGTTTTAATGAAACTTCCTCAGACTGGATTGCATAACACAACTACCATACACAGTATATGCCTGCTGGAAACAGATGAGTCATTCATTTTTTCCCATTATGTGGGATTTATAATAAGCACCTGCTTAAACTGGCTTTATCAGAACTTCATAAGACTTATTCATTTTAAGCACCCTTCAATAATCTCTTTATGAATTGAACGCATTTACCTTTTGAAAGGAAATACCTGAGCATTTTAAGCATGTCATTTAAGGCCTGGATCCTGTTGGAGAGCAGGCCTTCAACCATAACCTGCTACAGAACAGGCAACTGTTTCAAAATTTTATTCAACAATTCATAGGTTTGGCTTCGTTTTCCATACTTAAGCCTCAATTCTACAAATGACTCCAAAAAAGATCAACAGTTCATCTATGCCAGTGATCTTCAACCAGGGTGCCACAAGATCCTTTCAAGGGTGCCATACTAGCAGAGTTAGGTGCGTGAACAACTACACGACTTACTAGGCAGACTCAGAGATTTCAAATAACAATTTGTGCCTTGAAAAGTGTTGCAACTTGTTGTGGTCCGAGTTCTTTGCAGCAGAAGAATTATTTCATTATGAATCCATAGTCAAGGAACAAGTGAAAGCGAAGAGCTGGCATATTAGGGAGGTGGTGCCTCGAGTCTAACAGGAGGTGCCTTGATTCTAAAAAGGTTGGGAACCACCCATTTATGCAGCGAGATCTGTGCATGGGTGCAGATACATACATTTTAAATAAAAGGTTAAGCAGTTCCCTAGCTTTGAGTTAAGGAAGGAAAAAAAAACAAACAAACAAACAAACAAAAAATCATCACCCGCAACACATCTTAAAATTAAACCCAAACAAAAACAGGAGAAGACCGGCTGTGTTCCCGCTGAGGAATACAGCCTTTGCCCTGCCTTTAAAAAAAAATGGTATTGAGCTAAAAAGTGGCCTGTATGCCAGCTGCAGACAGTGCATAGAACAGTTAACATTTACACTGCAATTTCCAAAGAGAAAAAAAAAACTACAAAAACACAACACTTGAATTTTGCTTAAGATCATGACTATAAATGCAATGAAAAAGGAACCTAGTCTTGCCCACCACGTGGATTTTTTGTGATACCCGAATTCTATTTTGCAAAGAGATTTACATGTATGTTTTTGCATTCTGAGCGTACTTTTACAGTTGAAACTTATCTGTTATAATTGTTGTTCTATTAATCCACAAGTTGTTGCATATCCTGTAGTATTTTAAAATTAGACTTTTACTAAAAGTTCATTTATTCACTTTAAGGGGAATTATGCATGTACACCACAAGGAAGAATATGGAAAACTAAAGTGGTCAGTTCATAACAATGCACGAAATATGCCTCTGAATTTGAAAAACTGACACTAATATTAAACTCATCTCTGACATCCACCTTTCACCACAGCAAAATTTCTCTCTCTCTCTTTGGCTAGTTATTTTTCAGACTAACAAGGTCATAATAAATTGTTTCACTTACTGTAGCGAGAAATTTCCCCGTATCGACATCCCAAATGCTGAACAATCAAGAATACCTACCTAAACCTTTTTGTCCCGGATTCTTTGCAAAGTTGAAAGTAAACTGATAAAAATCCTTAAATCTTCCTGGCTCTTTTAATTCTTGTTCCATTTTAGGAATCTGGGCCTTTAGTTTTTCTATGCTGTCACATCTGTATTTTAAAAGCAAGTCTGTGTATTACTAATTTTGTCATAACATACCAAGTTTATTTCTAAAACCATCTACTAGGACCCAAAATCTTAGAGCTGAATTATATAAAACTGTTCAACAAACCAGTAACTAGTCTGTATATGTATAACCAGTACAACTTTGTTTTTACAGGTAATTCTTCACACTGACACCTAAACGCTCTGGTTGAAAGCCAGATTTATGTACTCTACAGTAATTCAAAATCATTTGTCAGAATGATCCAAGATAAACAAGTCTGGTTTTCTGATAAAGATAAAGAAAAAACTGGGCTGCAAATATAGACACTGGGCCAAATCTTGCTTTACTGTACCCAGTGGGGCAACTCATACAGCTAAGGCAAGCAGCATCTGAACCTAGGTCAGAGCTCTTTTCTAGCTTGTACAAAGCTGATAGCAGATATATTTCTACATACACAGAAGACAAATACCAGACTAGCTCTGAAAATACATCATTCTGTTCTGGATTTTAGAAACAATTTTTTCTCCTGTTTCAGTCCCAACTTTTGACAGTGAGTTACACTGGTAGTGTCATACCTGTTGCATACTTACCCTAAATCAGTCATGCCATCCATGAATTCCTGCTTTGAGAACTCGCACTGTGTTGCAGCTCTGAATTTCCATGCGATGATCAGTACAGTAATGCTGGCAGGGTCAAGTGCTAGGTCATCACAAAACTGCTGTATTCCATCTATACCAATTTTATTTTCATCTTGAGGATCTTTGAAGTACAAAAATAATGATCAGTAAACAAAAATCAACCAGGTAGCCAATTCCTTCAAACTGGAATATATGTACTTTTTCATGGGCACACAAACTTCGAAAATTACTTACGAGATAAGCCATTTTAAAAGCAGGCATTTAACCACTTTTAAAATACACATTTCTGTTTAGTTTGAATTTTAATACTTGGGAAAGTTACTCGAATAAAAAAGTCATTTACAATGAAACCCTTCAAATGTGCAACGAACACATCCGGCACAGGCTACTGCAGTGCAAAGTCTGTATGCAGTGAATTCTGACTAAGTATAGTTCACTCCCTCTCACACATTTTGTTCTCAATTTCTCTGCCTAACCTGCCAGCATGGATGTCATTACAGATGACAGATTCCTATAACCTGCACTGAAACCACTAAATTGGTTTCTCTGAAACTACTACACTAATGTCATTTTTGTATAATTTCTGGCCATATTATACTATTTCTGGCCAAAGTGTGCCAGATTGGTCAGGGTACCCTAGAAGCCAGAGGTGGTGTTGCCTTATTACCAACCTCTAATCACTCAGCTACTCCCCACACTCTTCACAAAGTAGTTAACAGCTAGCCTGGAAATAAAATCTTCACATTTCATAGCGAGCTAAAAAAGCTTTACTAAAGCAACCAATCAAAGACTTCAGGAGAGAAAAACAATATCCTTCAATCCTGAATTTTTAAAATGCTTGTGTATTACATGGCATATACACATGAAGAGCAGATGTGGTAGAAAGAGAAAGAACAGCAACTGTAATCACTTTGCATATATGAATTTTTAATAGATTCTAATAAAAATACTTCCTATTAGTACATTAGTAAAGTACATATTAAAACGGATGATATTTTGTGGTATGCCAAAGCAGGCATGACCTCGTCTTTCCTACCCTACCAGTATTCATTTAATAAGAACTGTGGGGTTCTTTCTGAGATGTCTCCTCATCCACACTCCATTTTTACTGACTAATCTATAATGCCATTTTCATTCGTCAAGGATTAGGTCCTTCTAAGTTCCCCACAGAAGAATCAATTATCTAAAAGTAGCACAGCCATTAAGGGCGCAATCATACTGCATGAAAGCTCAAATTTAGGCCCTGATCTTGCAAAAACTTGCTTGTAATGAGTAGCTTCATCAAAGTCCACTGTACATAAAGTTAAGCAGGCATGTTCAGATTTGCAGAATAAGGGTCTTATCAATGTTCCTTCTCCCTTTTCAGACTGGGTTTGCATTGCTACACAGAAGGGTAGGGTAAGTAAATTAGTCAACATTTTAAGTAGAGTAGCTCAATGGACACACGCATAGGGTCTATAGTTCGCAGGTACAAATAAATCCAAAATGCGTAATTGTTAGAATTCCCTGTACTCACCTTTGTATCGGTTATATAGCTGTTCTAGCTTTTTTCGGTCCAGCGATCCTTTAACGCTCTCTCGTATATAAAGTTCAGGATTTTGGAAAAAGTTGTCTGTTGCAACATCCAACTTCCAGTCATTTTGGGATAGACAACTCACTGCAGTCTTTTCACTAGATTGCGTAAAGATCATAAACTGACGTACTTTATCCTTCTGTGACGATTTCAACTTGTTCTATCAAAGTTAAAACAGATAACACTGAAACTAAAAATGGTTAACTGGCTAGTGGGGGGGGATGAAATGGGGATGAGAGCACATCTAGTACAAGTTCCCTGGGAGAAAAAATGTAAAGCAACATTCTTTTCTCCCTCTTTAAAAAATGCTGATTTTTTAACATCAGCTGAAAAAAAAATTGAGGGAACATTTATTTTTTTAACTTACATATTCACACACACTTCATTAGACATGTTACAAGGGCCAGTGTGACAGGCAAAACCAATTTATTCTTTTTTAGGTATACAGATAACCAATATTGTATACAAGACAGACTTTCATGGAGATGGAAAAGTTCTGCACAACACAAAACACACAACACAAAATTACCCCAATCCCAGGTCTCCTGTGTAGTAACAAAATGATCAGCTAAATCACCACACAAATCTTCTGGCCAAACCACCCAGACACCAATCAAAAATTGACACCAGCCAAATAAGTAATAAGCAACGGTAATAACACAGCAGGTGCACAGATGGTTCCTATTTTACCTAGACAATTGATTTCTCTGACTATAAGAAGAAGAATTAAAAATGTCATGCCTGCCAAAGAATAGCAGCTGAAATGCATTAAGTTTAAGTCTATTGTAATTTGGGGATCTGTTCCACCAAACTTAAGGTCAGATGATGCCACTATTTAAAAACAGTGAAAGCTAAAAATTAAAAATGAAACATTTTTTATCATTCCCATCACATTTCTCAGAGTGCTTCACAATACATATCATAGGATTCCTGCAAGGTGGCTACTGTCTCCATCTTACAGATGCATAAACTGAGGCAGAAGAAGTTGAGGCAACTTGCCTAAAGCCACACAGCAAAACAGCAAGGGTCATGGCTGAAACTAAAGAGCTCTGGGTGCCAGGCTTAAGCCAACAGATGCATCTCCATTTACATTCCTAGTTTAATCAATGTAATGAGAATCCTGCACTTTACCATGCTAAGCATGATTCCGTGGAGCAGGTAAGTGGTGGAAAAGGCATAAAGTGCTCAAATAAAATTTCAAATTTGATAACTGTGCTTCACATACATTACATTGGAGAGGGGAGGGGAGGGAGAGCAACCTAAGGTACAGATGCCACAAGTGGCGTGCACAGTCTCTGTGTGGCATGCGGCAGATTATGGAGGGAGCAAGAGAGACAGTGCAGGAAGCAAAAGGCAGAGCAGCAGATCAGGCAGGGGAAGGGAATCAGTGGCACACAGCGAGGACATGGCACAGCTGCCCACTATGTCACCCCTTTGGCTAATTCACAGAACCTGTATACACCCAGTTCAAAAGCTAGCCCCAGCATTTTCCAAGAAAGTCTTCCAATTAATACATTTCAGTCTAGGAAATGAAGTGTTGTTTTAAGTTAGGAAATAAATACCTTAGCTGTAAAGTTTAAAACTTTTTAGTTCCAAACTTAAAATGTTGTCTTGCATACTAACCCCACCCCTGCAAAATCTGCAGGGGTGCAGAAGCAGCTTCTGCAATTGAAAAAAACAAAGATATCAAATGGATGTGAATTATCTTTACACAAAGAAAGAATCTTTTAGAAGGAGGAGAACAGCAACTCTGCTCCATGTTATGTATAGTATCTAATTACAATGCAAGTAGGAAGTACAACCAGCATTTCAGATTCTACACAAATCTGGCTCAAAAGGCAAAATCCAATTCTGTACTGCTCAAAAACCCATTAAGTAGATCATGTGAACACTACTACCAATGTACCCACAACAGTCACTAGCAAGTTTCCAGTTCCAGACTGAGAACAGTCGATCTGAAGAGGTACTGCATAGATACTGGGAGCATCAAAGGTACAATACTGCAAAGTGATGACCATCTTCCACAATACACAAATCACGCAAATACTGAAGATGTAGAAACCTAAAGCCCAATGCAGGAGGACTGTTTTTAGAGGTAAATATCAGAGTCATAGAAAATTATGGTTGGAGGGGATGTCAGGAGGTCAATCTAGTCCAACCCCCTGCTCAAAGCAGGACCAGCCACAACTAGCCCATCCCAGCCAAGGCTTTGTCTAGCCGGTTTTAAAAACTTCCAAGGATGGAGATTCCATCACATCTCTGGGTAACCCATTCCAGTGTTTTACTACCCTCCCAGTGAGAAAGTTTTTCCTAATATCTAACCTAAACTTCCCTTGCTGTAACTTGAGCCCATTGCTCCTCGTTCTGTCATCTGCCACCACTGAGAACAATTTAGATTCATCCTCTTTCAAACCCCACTTCAGGTAGTTGAAGGCTGCTATTAAATCCCCTCTCAGTCTCCTCTTCTCTAGACTAAATAAGCCCAATTTCCTCAGCCTCTCCTCACAAGTCATGTCACCCAGCCCCTGCACCATTTTTGTTCCCCTCCACTGGACCCTCTCCAATTTCCCCACATCCTTTCTGTAGGGTGGGGGGGAGGGCCGCCAAAACTGGACACAGGACTCCAGATGTAGCCTCACCAGTGCCGAATAGAGGGAAAGAATCACTTCCCTTAATCTGCTGGCAACGCTCCTACTGATTGATGCAGCCCAAGTTGCAGTTAACCTTCTTGGCAACAAGGGCACACTGCAGGCTCATATCCAGTCCACCTTCTTGTCCACTACAGCCCCCAGGTCCTTTTCTGCAGAGCTGCTGCCCAGCCCGTCACCCCCAGCCTGTCCCAGTGCAGGACTTTGCACTTTTCCTTGTTGTGCCTCATGAGATTTCTTTTGGCCTAATCCTCCAATTGGTCTAGGTCACTCTGAATCCTAGCTCTACCCTCCAGTGTATTTACTACTCCCCCCCCACCCCCCAGCTATCAATTCTCTGTTGCTTTTTTTTAGAGGGATAAAAAGCCTGTATAATCTTAAAATTATCATAAACTTGAAGAACATGTTGAGGAAAAAAACCCCAACAAACTAGAAGTATTTAGTCCTTGTTTCTCCCCACTCACTTTCTCCGAGAGTATTTTTAGTGACATCTCTGCTCATTCTGATGCCCTTTATGCTAAAGGATCCCTTCCTCCAAACCTGCCAGTGCACGAGTGATTCTGTGTTCATTACTGAGCACATCTCTATGAACCACACCACCTCAAGCACCAAACTGCAAAGCATTCTGTATTTTTAAAGTTATTTCCAGAAAAATAATTAACAGCATCTATTATTGTTCTAAATGATCAAATTACACCCTTTAACCTTTAATCCTGTATTTAAGAGGAGACAACATATGCAATTGGAGCATAAACTGCTCAACTTCAGCTTGAAGGAGCCATTCTAGTAAAAAAAAACAAAACAAAACAAAAAAATAACGCAGGTACAATTTTGTTGAACCTCTATCTTCATTGCTGGATTAAGGGTGTTTATATACGTGCTCCAGGGGGTACGAGGGGGAGGAATGGGACACTTTAGTTAGAGCTATGCTGGGAGCCACTCTAATTAAAGCGCCTGAAGCATCCCGTGCATCAGCATCCCCATGCTTAAAAACAGTGGCAGGGGCACTTTAACTAAAGCTTGTTTGACAAACTTTAGTTAAAGTAACTCTGCCACCATTTTTAAGCACAGGGATGCTGATACAGTATAACCTAATAAATCTGGCGTGCTGGGGACCGAACACCTGCCAGAAATTTGAAAATGCCAGATTTTTTAAACCTGTGCAGCAGCCGGTCATGGAGCAGGG